ATATTGATCTTTAAAATTCTTTATATCATTATATGTATTTGAACCCAGAAATTTCTGGCTTTTTTACAAGTCCACCAAGCATGATAAAATGACCCTTCATGTTGTCCACCACATTTCCATCATAAATTTGAAATATCTTTATACATTCTAGACACCTTTCCTGGAGTAATATACTAATGATACATCAGTTTATAAAAATTATCTTTTAAATCATAACAATGTAAACTTCAATCCTTTTAACCACCTATTTTCCCACTGTTCCATCAGTATATTGTGCCCAAAGTTGCCCATTTTATCATATAGATTTTCACAACACAACCTTGATTTCCTGAAAGACATCTCTCGAATGATCAAATATTTAACTAAGAGATATGGACACACCGAAATGGCCTCCTGTTGCCAACTGTGAAAAGAAGCTAGGTTCCAGTGTGAAGATACTATGAGAGAATTTTGGTGTCTTGCAGGATTGGACAAAACACTTGGTCCTCAAACAAAATAGCTCCCTAACCAAAACCATCTCTTGAGGAATAAAAACACAAGAATAAATACAAAATTTTGAACATGTATTATCATCTGATGTAGTCCATTGTTTCTTAGGATCTGGCATTCTCTGCTTATAGACAACCCATAGTAATATGTGTGTGTGTGTGTGTGTATGCATGTACTGTATGTATGTATATACTGTGTGTGTGTGTATCCATGGAAGTTTGCAAATCCATGGCTGCCCTATGGGAATAAGAAGAGTTACAGCTGAAAAGCCATAGACAGGCAAAAGATTAGATCTGCTTTCATTCATAACATTTAGCTTGGCCCTTATTCAGCCAGGTTGAAGGAGTTGCTGCCAAAGACATTCAACGTGCCCAAAGACAGCTTCATGCTGTGACCACAGCAAACTTCACGGTACTAGGCAGGAGATCAGACACAATAAACGGAAGAGGAGACACCTCTCTTATGTGTTTTGAATTCATTGCTGAGGCTTAAGCCAATAAACGGGATTCTTGGACACCACAAAGGGCCTGTCCACATGCCAGGGCTGCTTTCAATACAACCTGCTTTCATCCTGGGTAAAATGAAACCCGAAATATGGGGGTTGGGGGAAAATCCCTTTTAAGAAGTGGGTGGCTCACCAGTTAATGCAGTAATGTGGTTCAGAGTTCTGCAAATCTAGCAGAGTGGTGTTGAATTTATGCTCCAGGGTGTCCTGAAACCCATACAGCTGAATTAATTTAGCCAATTATGGTTATATAAACATGGTCATCATGTTATGTAAATACAGCTGTAGAGTTGCAAAACTGGTATCTGCTTGGGAGGGCTGCTGAGAGCCCTGGCTGTGTAGGAGGTTGCTTCTCCAGTTTTGGGAAGACTAACTGAAGAGGGTGATCCTGGAAGCACTCACTCACTCACTCACTCACTCACTCACTCACTCTTCCTTTCTTCTTTTTCTCTCCCTTTTTCCTTCTTTTCACAGTTTCAAAGAGCGTTTCCATGCATCAGTCAGGCAGCTCACTCCAGGCTGTGACATCTCCTTCCTGCAGTCAGAAGAAGGCAGTGGCCGAGGAGCAGCTCTCATTTCTGCTGTAGCGTGCAAAATGGCTTGCATGATTGGCCAGTGAGATGGACCATGAAAGGCCACCTTCCTAGAAAGCACCTCTTCTTCCCAGTGACCCAGGCTGTGTTGTTTTAGGGTGTGCCCAGGAGCAGCACCAGTAGGAGGAAATTTTTCCTGGGGAGTAGACAATTGAACTGACCACTGGACAGAACAACGGCTGGAGCAACATTGGGTTCCTCCTAACTTCTTATATGTAGACAATGCAATAACTCTTTCAAACTTCAGCTTCTCCTTTTTCTTCCTAAAACCTTCTCCAATACTGCATGATGGCGGGGAGGGGGATGAGGGGTGTTCAGTTTATGTATTAAAGCAGTTTCACAAAGTTCTGTGGAGGTGTTGAGTGAATGGGGAGGAAATTAATTTGTTGGGGGGAAAGTGCTAAACAAAAAGAGATCTAGACCTATTGGTACTGAGTTGATAAGGAGAGTAACCCAAATTCTGTTTTTCCCAGTGTGGCGATTATTGGAGCCTTGTTTAATAGAATGGATAGCATTGGATTTAGAAGAGAGCAAAGGAAGGCACAGACATCAATTCCAAAGTGTAGGATCATCCAAAACATACCACTGGTTTCTTCTTTAGAAAATCAGGTTCTAAGGAGATTAAAAGAAGGGTCCCTATCAGCGCTTGGTGGTGAGATATGATCTCCATTTCAATGTTCCTAGGAATTTTTGGTGCTGATTTTTTCCCCAAGCAGCTGTTAATTCTGTCCTAATGTGACTTGGGCCATGTGTGTTCCCACTTGCTTGTACCCACAGCACAAAGAGCCCCTGCCCAAGCAACCTCTGTTTTCCACTGTGTTCACTTGGTGCTGCCTTCATCTCGTCTGTAGCCCATAAGAGACAGACTTATGTTGTGGTTAGCTGTTAAATAATATTTTCCCCTTTCTTCTAATAGCAGGGGAACTTCAAGGCATCTAAGGTCTGCTAGACTTTGTCACCCTTGCTTTGGAGAGAACTCAGGGGATGGGCCATGACTGGGAACAAAGGCATTAGAAGCAAGAGAGGAATCAGCAGTGTGAACAGCCAAATTCATACCATTATGGTTTTCTACCAGCTCAATCATGGGTGGAAAACACTTCAATTCACTAACAGAAAAAGGTTCTAAGTGGGTATATCAAATCTGAACTTAAGATACTATTTCCAGAAATAGCACAATCCAGATGCTTGAAGCTTCATTTGCTTTCATGACACTCCAGATCTAGGTCAAACATGAATCCAAGAGGCCTGAGAACAAACTGATTATTCTCTACATCAACGATGACCATAGAAGAGTGGGAGATGATGCAAAGTGGCAGGTTCATCATGTACCTGGTTGAATCAAGGTGTTACATTTTCCCCTAGTATTTGAGTTCACTTGTGTTGGGTTTTTACACCCAGGTTTAATCTATTTAGAGGGGTTAATTGTCATTTCAGTGTATTCAAATCCCCATAAGACATTAGATAACCACATTGCCTATTTTCAACAAGCATGCTTGGAGAAGGCTTGGCAGGGTGTAAAAAAATGGGTTCTGGAGTCCCATATCCTTATCATTTCCTGATTTTATTTGTCTTTAGAAGGGAATGTATTTATCTATTTGCCTTTTTTAGCTTTCTATTTTTAAGCTCTGGTTCTATCTTTAGAAACTGAGAAAAATAGAAACCACAATACTTCCTCTAAAAACAGAGGTCGAAGACTGCCATCCGCTAAATATGAAAAGGTTTTGCTGTTTCTCTACATGCCTGAATTTTGGCTCAGCAGTGATTTGTTGATGCCCCGATAATTAGCCCATTAATGTGGATGGAATGTAGTTGGACAAAAATGCCAGTTAGTAAAGACAAGGGTGATATGGGTTGCAGTGGCTAAAATGGATGATTGGGTGAATGCTATAAAGATTCTAGTCCAGACGTACTTGAGATGAAGTGAAGAAAGATTCATGGGTAGAATAATGAAAAAAAGGCGGGGGGGGGGCTGGAGCAATTTGTACAAAGCACTGGATAAGGTGAAAAAGGTACAGGTCTTTGTCACACAGTCAGAAAGATAGATTGCTGAGCATGTCAGAAACTGACACACACATCTATTTTCTGGGAAGTTTAGCCAAGGTAGGCTGGAATGCAAACATGATATTTGAACAGTAAGAAATACACATAATTCTGCTTTTTTAATGGAATACCTTGCCAATCCCTTAGTTCCCCATCTTTCCCACTGAGTTTTTGGTCATACAGTTGCTTGACTTAGGCACACTTGCTTTCTTATCACTGGCATAATATTGTTTATTTTCCTGTTTTGTTTTACTTCTGTCTCCTGCTATCCTTTTCATAGTTTG